GTGTCCTGTGGGGAGGACCCGGCCCCCTGCCGTGGGGGCGTCGAGGTGGAGGAGGGTGAGCGCTTCCAGAAGCCGGAGAGAGGGCCAGGAGTGGGTTCTTCCCGAGAGCCTCCAGGAGGAGCTATGAGAGAGTGTGCTGTGTTCTCAGCCCCCCGGAAGAAATTGGAAAACTGGAACAGATAGGGGCCGTGGTGCGGGGCGCCTGACACAGACCGGCTCCCACCCGCAGATGGGACGGACGCCCGGCTCCGTTTCCTCTCCCGTGTGTGCTGTTGGGACGCACGCTGGCGTTTGTGGGATGCGCTCATAGAGCTGGTGCGAGGGCGCGGTGCCGAAAGCATCCTGTGGGCGCTTCTCCCGTGGGCGCTCCAGGGGGTGCGGGAGCCTGTCTCGCCCGGTGCGCCCACGTTACACTAGCGCTCAGCCTCCTGGTCTCTGTCCCCCGGTCTTGCTGTCCTTCTGCACGGCCCCCCCCAGGTCGTTCCCTGCCGCCTCACCTACGAGCCGTGCGGCCCTGCATCGTTTCCTGGGTGGTGGCAGCTGTCCCGCAGTTGGTCACAGCGGAGGCCTGTGGCCTCACGGGGTGGGAGCCGAGCTCCTCACAGGTGCTGGCTGACGTGTGAGCTTGGCCCGCAGACGCAGCCCTAGACGGAGTGTTTCCTCTGGACAGTTGTGACACCGGTTAAGGCTTTGTCTCTCGAGTCACACTGCCTCGTGGGACATCCTGCCATGGATGCTCGCTGGCTCTGTGGCCCTGGGCAAGTTGCTTAACCTCTCCGTGCACCTGTGTATCGAGGAGCATCAGAGTGTGCCTTGCAGGGTTGTGGGGGCTCAGCGAATTCACGGCGAGTACTTCTCCAGTGCCTGGCATTGGTAGGTGGTCGCTAAGCATCGGCTCTGTGCCCAGCTCTGTTACCCGGCCCATGCCCTCACGTGGTAGGGGCCACTCGAGGGACTGAGGGAGTGCGGTGATGCCAGGACCGTGCTTGGCCCGGGTGACGGGCACGGGAGGCCGGACGAAGGCACGCGCTTCTTGCCCTCAGGTGGTTCCGTTCCAGAAGGGGAGGGAGACTGATCTGGAATGCAGGTCCGTGTGAAGCAGCGTGAGGAATGCAGGGTCAGGCAGCCCTGCGCGTGGCGCCAGGTGGGGGACGTCCCCACCTTCTCCCGTTCTCCCTGTGGGGCCACGTCCACTGTGGACACTTGGGCGCTAGGGCTGAGTGCATCTGCCCTGGGACCCGGCGTCCCGTGGAACCCCTGGACCAGGGGAGGGGCGTGGGGTCTTGTGGTTTCAGCGCCCGGTCTGCCTTGGGGCCGCTCGGCCTGCTTCTTCCTGAGTCTGCGGGGCCGGCCGCAAAGGAGGCGCACTCGTAGTTGGGCGGAAGCCGTCTGCTCTGGAGCGGACTCCATGCCCCGAGGCGTTCAGCTGAGATGAGGGCAGGCTCTTCTGAGGGGTCAGGGAGACTTAACCTCCTCCTTGTCCCCGGCAGCTCCGCATGAGGCTGGGTGGTCTGGGGACCGACGTGGGGTTGTGTGAAGAAGGGCGGCGGGTCGCTCGCCACGGAGGCCTTGGCAGGTGTGGGGGAAGATGCTGGGGTCGTGGCACCCTCAGCGTTCGCCTCCTTGTCTTTGCAGAAGCTGCTGGCAAAGCTGCAGAGCTGGGAGCGTCTGGAACAGACCACGGGCTTGAACATCAGGTAGGCGGAGGGCGCCCCCGGCGGTGAGGTCCTGCCTCCCCTGGGCCCCCGGCAGCTGGAGCCCCTGGCAGAAGCCCTGCTGGAGGCCGCCTGCCGGCTTGTGCAGCAGCCTTTTGGGTTTGATGTGGCATTTTGCTGACAGGAGGGAAATGCAACTAAGGGACTGTCCCTGCCCAAGTCTTAACTTTCTCCTTTAAGGTCGGTGGTGGCATGGTGGCAGGCTTTTGACCGCACTGCAGCGGTGGCTTCTGTTAAAGGACCTTTGCCTATACTGAGGGAGCGATTGCTTTTGGGGGCGAGCCATTCCTTTTAGGCAGATGGAAGGCGGGGAGATGGACTGAGCTGTCAGGGGTGAGAAGGGAGCATCGTTGTCCCGTCAGGACCCCGCGGCGTGCCAGCAGGGGAGCGGCAGGATGCAGAGGGGCAGCAGTGGGGGCAGCTGGGCGGTGAGCTGGCGCCATGTCCTCTGATGGCCCGGACGGCTTGGGGGGGGCATCTTTCCACTGCTCCCTGCCTCCCGTCCTGGGGGCTACTGCCTCTCGTTCTCCAGCATCGCTGCCTGTCCCTCGGTCCCCGGGACTTTGGGCCCCCCTGTGGATAGACTCCTCCCAACAGCTCTGTCCTCGTCTGGTTGTTCCGTTCTGGGTGAGGGCTGGTGGGAGACCAATCGTCCCTGTTCGTCTGGAGCTGTGGTGTTTCAGGAGTCTCTTGTTTCGTCAGCTTGTGCGACTTTAAGACTGTAGCTCCCTGTCGTCTTTCCTGGTGCTCTTGGAAACTGGGCCAAGATTGAGAGCCTGCTTTAAAGAGCTGTCCTGTAATTACAGTGTCCGAGGGCTGGTTCTGGAACCTGCCGTGGTTTCCATCAGCGTTACTGACTTCGGTGTCTGTCCCTTGTAAATGCTTCCTCGTCGTCTCTTTGCCCCGCTGAGTCCCAGAGGACAGACGCGGCTGCTGTTCCTTCCTGAGCTGCACCCGCCGCCAGACTCGTGGAGGGCTGACCCGGTGGAGCCTCACCTACTCTCTGGGCTTAGTAACTCACCAGAACGCTTCCCTCCTGCACCTAGGGAGGCTTGTCAGAAGAGAAACCTCTGTGACTTCTTTCTCTTGCGGGAGATCAGAGGCCCACTCGTGCCCGATCAGACCAGCTGGTGGAGTGTCTGAACGCCCAGCATGTGCCACAAAGCCCTCGACATCAGTCAAGCCTGGGGCTGGTGCACAGCTGGCGGCCGCCTCTGGCCGGGGCGGAAAGTGTGGTTCCTCCTCCGGCCCTTTGGTCTCTCTTCCAAATCAGAGGGCCTCCCTGAGTGTGGCTGGCATGCGGGGGGGCATGCGGGGGGGCCTGCAGAGGTCTGCGGGCTGACCGCTAGCTGGGGTGCTGCTTCTGCCTGGTCACGCGCCTGTGTGTGTGTGTCATGTGTTCACTCGGCGGTCGGGCCCTGGAGAGGCAGAGGAGGGGGGTGGTCGAGGGCTCTCAGAGGTGGGGGCTGCTTGGGGCGGGCGGGAGGGAGAGGAGGGTGTGAGTCTGTCCCTGGCGTCTCTGCCCTCCCCTGGCTCGTGGGCCCCTCGCCAATCTGTGCCTGGCCCTGGGCCAGTGTTCCCATCGCCGGGAATGCGGCGCGCGCCTGGCCTTGTGTGTGGAGGCTTACAAGTCACGTACTGCGGAGCGGTGCTGGCCTCCCTTCCGAGCAGCCGGAGGCTTCTGGGGAGGCGGTGAGGCATCCTTGTGGCCCTTGCCTCCCGGCGCCCCTGGTGAGGGTCCCCCGGAGGGGCAGGTTTTCTGTCGTGTGCCCGGTCACTCTGTGCCTGGCCACCGCGGGGGCCCCTGGGGAACCTCAGTGTCTCCTGTTCACCCTTCCTGTCCGCAGCAGGGCGCCTGGGTGGGCTTCACCTCCAGTCACTTGTGTCCCTCTGAGGTGGGTCCGTGTGTCCTGTAACAGTCGGTGGGTCGCAGGCTTGTGTATTGGTCCAAATGCAGGGAGTCGACCTGTCCAAGACCGCACTTGACCTTGAATGCCGTGAGGAGGAGTTGGGCCATCCTCTTTTGTCAGGTCTTGGGCAGTTGGAGGTTTGTGAGCGGGGAGGGAGACCTGGGGGAGCCTACGTCTGGCAGAGTTGAATATGGGGAGGGAGACGGGCGGAGGGAAATAGGGCACAGGGAGGAGTTGGGATCCCTGCAAGGAGGGAGGGGTGGACCCGGTCGGGAGCGCTGAGACCACTGTGGGTGGCCGGGGTGGGTCGGCCCCGGGTGGGTGTAGGGTGGGTGGCCTCCGACAGCGTAGCCGTCATGTCTGCGGCTCACTGTCAGACCTTGGTGAGCGGTGCCTGAATCTCTGTTTGGCCCCCGCCTGGCCCTCAGGGTTGTGGGGCTGTCTTGTGCCTCATTTTACACATCTGCGAGTGGAAAGATTTTTCTAGAATAGTGGTTTCTCACCCTGGAAGTCAGACTTTCTCCCTGTGAAAACCCGTTTTCACGCTAGGCCGGGGGCTTGCACCCCCAGAGCAAGACCAGCCGGCTCCGAGAGACAGCAGTGAGTCCCAGTCCAGCAGGTGCCCTGGAAGCAGGAGCTGGAGGGGCCGGGAGGGCCTTAGGACCTTAGGACCTGGCAGGCTTGATTCTCCTGGCCTTTAGGCCAGGGCTTTGACGCCACTTTGGGACTGAAGGGACTCGCTTGGCGTGTGTCGCTTGGTGTGTGTCGTGACCCCCAGCCCCCAGATCCTGTCCAGGGTCTCCTGGGCTTTGAGAGCTACCGCCACTAGGTGGCGCCCCCGGCCCCGTGATCCTGCTCCCTGCGCCTTGAGCGCCTTGAGCGCCTTGGGCCCTTTGGCTTTCTGGCTCCAGACCTCTGCCTGTAGTTCTTCCTGGCCCTCTGCTGCTCCCCGTGGACCTCACGTGCTACGGCCACGGCCTGGAGGAGCAGCCTGTGGATGGCCGGCTGGCTGCCGTTGACTGTCCCACCCCTGCCCTGTTCTTGCCCAGCCTCTGATCCTCAAATGCTTGATGCCTATGAGATTCTGGTGTCTTAGCACAGATATTCCTTGCATGGGCTTTCCTCTGGGTGCAAGGCTGTGTCTCTTCGCACGTTCTTGGAGGGCCCTGCGGCCTTGCCAAGGTTGGGAATAGGTCGGGTCTAACGCCTGGAACAGACCAACCCCCTGGAGTTGACACGGCGTGACCGTTGCCACCTTTCTCCCAGTTCGGGATTTCTCACATCCTGAGGAGCCCAGAGGTGTCAGGGAGCTGGTTACGTGAGCTGGCTGGGGCGGTCCGGCAGTGTGACCCTGTAGGGAAGCCCCGTGCCAGTTTCCTTGTCTGCCAGACAGCCTCATCCACCCGGATGTTGCTGGACGCCTGTCTCCAGCATGTGGGTCCTGTGGGTTGGAGGCAGGTGGGCCGCCGGACTCGGAGAGTCCTGGTGGGAAGGAATACTGCACCGTGTTGGGTGGGGCCTGTGTACTCGGGGGTGGGGGGGAGGGTGGTGCCTGCAGGTCCCCATCCTGGGGCAGCGAAAGCCGACTGAGGGGTTCGGCAGCAGTACACAGATTGCGCCGGCGTGCGGAGACCTGTGACGTGCTGAGCCTTGTCTGGGGAGCGTGGCCCGGCGGAAAGGTTTGAAGGTGCTGAAGGCGGACACCAGGAGACACTCTGTGTCTGTGTCAGCCTGGGTGTGACCTTCCGGGGGCACTGGGGAAAGACTGACGGAGAGGCCGTTGGGAAAATGGAGCAAAGGGGGTACCTGCAGCAGTAGACGGGCCTTTCCCTTCAGACAACCGGGGTCGTTTGCTATTCAAATAGGTTAGAGAGGAAACGTGATCGTCTCGGTAGGTGCGGAGGTGTTGGTGGGAACTCAGCACCCACGCACGATCGCAACCTTTGACCAGTGTAGGAGTGGAAGGGTCCCCCCTCCCCAAGATGCGGCACCTGCTGTCCTTGCGTCTAGCCCGCCCTCTCCCCGCTCCTTTGCGGCGGCAGCGGCGGTGCGGCCAGCGCACAGTGGGAGGGAGGAGGAAAGGCCCGCGGCCGGGCGGGAGGACGTAAAGCTGCCTCTGGTGGGGGGCAGCACGATCGTCCGTGTAGGACGTCTCTGGGCATCTGTAAAGAGCCGGAAGTAGTAGGTCTGGCAGGTTCACAGTTACGAGGACAACGCGCGCAAGCGGACTGAGTTTCTGTGTGCCAGCAGCGAACAGTTGGAGTCACGCAGCCCTGAAGAGTCGCGTTGGAAATGTGAGGCTGAATGCAACGGAAATCTGCATGCTGTAAAGTAGAAGTTCTTTCTAGAATGACAGGAAGTCACCTAGCAGCGATATCAGCAAGTGGAGAGCGATCCCGTGCTCGCAGGTTGGAGGAGTCCGTGGTGGGGACACGTCAGTGTGCTAAAATTCATCCTCACCTCCAGTGCATCCCCAACCAAAGTCCCAGCAGGCCTTTTGGTAGAAACCAGCAAACTGATTCTGGAGTTTCTATGGAGACGAAAAGGATCTAGAATAGCCAGACTTGTTTTTGAAAAAAAAACGTGGGCTTACGGTGGTTAATTTCCAAACGCACCATAAACCGTATTGATCAAGGCAGCGGGTTAATGGTGTAAGGATAGACTTACACGTCGACGGAAAAGACTAGAAAGTTCTGGAATAACCCGAGTATGGAATCTGTTGGTCTCCATCGAAGGTGACAAGATAAATCAGTGGGAAAGAGTCAGTCTTCCGCAGACGGTGCTGATGCAGGGGGATGTCTGTATGGACAGATGTAGATTCTGGTCCCTTACTGTTCCGGCGTTGAACCAGTGGGGCGTGGACCTAACCTAGGGAAAAACCAAGGCTCTGGAAGCTTAGGACACAAAAGCGTGAACCAAAGATGAAAAAAATCGTTCACTTAGAGTTCCCCAAGACGAGAAACACCTTTGCTCTCAGAAAGACGCAGTGAAGGCAAGAGGCAAACCCTGGGCCAGGAGAAAATCTTTGTGATGCGTCTAGGTAGGTTGACGGGAGACCACAGCCAGATCTTG